TCTGAGGCAGAAGAATCACTTGAACCCAGGAGGCAGAGGTCTCAGTGAGCTGAGATCACACCACTGCCCTCCAGTCTGAGCGACAGAGCGAGACTCCCTCTCAAAAAAAGAAAAAAAGGAAGAAAGACAGTCAAGGAGAAGGTGGCTGTGTGCAGGAAGTGAACAGCGCGGTGGCGATGAGGAGGCTGAGGATCAGCTGATACTGTTCAGATCCGCACACTTCTCCTGCACTCATTTCATTTCAGCCAAACGCTCGGAGGCAGGAATTGCTATTATCACCACGCAACGAATGTACTGTTATTGGTTCCTTAGCCCCATAATTACTAAGTATCCCCTATGTGCCTCACTTGTGCTGGGCACCAGGAATACAGAGATGTAGAGACAGGACACTTAACCTCCCAGAGGTCACCATCTGGAGGCAGTCTCTGACCTTGACCAAAAAGTGTAGGGTGCTAATGACTATGAGAATCTTGGGCCCTCGGCACAGCAGGAGCCCTGGGGAGCCTTCTGTGCAGCCCCCGTTGTACAGATAAGGAAACTGGGGAAGAGGAGCAGGGACTAGCTCAAGCCCACACAGTAAGCAGGTGGCAGGGCCAGAGCTAGAATCCAGGTTTCTTGTCTCCGTTGGTGAGTTCTTCCAGCAAGGTGCGTTCGTGGGGTACTGAGTAACAGACTAGTCAGTGGGTGGGGCTGGAGTTGGCGGAGGTGGCCTCAAGCCCGCCTGTTACCCCCCAGCTTCGTGCTGAACCTGGGCAAAGACAGCAACAACTTGTGCCTACACTTCAACCCTCGCTTCAATGCCCACGGGGACGCCAACACCATCGTGTGCAACAGCAAGGACGGCGGCGCCTGGGGGGCCGAGCAGCGGGAGGCTGCCTTTCCCTTCCAGCCTGGGAGCATCGCAGAGGTGGGCTGCGGACCAGGGACAGGGGCTGGGTGGCCTGGGGCGGGGCTGGGTGAGTGACTGGAGACCTTGGCCCTACCTGCTCTCTTTCCCCTCCTCTTTCCTCCCTTCCTGTGTGATGGCCAGTGTCAGCCCCTCTTTGAACTTAAGTGGCTGGTTAGAATAAAACAAAGGAGGGGCCAGGTGCGGTGGCTCACGCCTGTGATCCCAGCACTCTGGGAGGCTGAGACGGGTAGATCATTTGGGGTCAGGAGCTCAACACCAGCCTGTTAGCCACTTAACATGGTGGCTAACCCCATGTCTATTAAAAATACAAAAATTAGCTGGGCGTGATGGTGCTGACCTGTAGTCCCAGCTACTTGGGAGGCTGAGGTGGGAGGATCACTTGAGCCTCAGGGAAATTGAGATTGTGCCACTGCACTTCAGCCTGGGTGACAGAATGAGACCCTGTCTGAAAAAGAAAAAAGGCCATGTGCAGTGACTCACACCTGTAATCCCAGCACTTTGGGAGGCTGAAGTGGGCAGATCACTTGAGGTGTGGAGTTTGAGACCAGCCTGATCAACATGGAGAAACCTCGTCTACTAAAAATACAAAATTAGGTGGGCGTGATGGCACATGCCTTTAATCCCAAGTACTTGGGAGGCTGAGGCGGGAGAATTGCTTAAACCTAGGAGGCGGAGGTTGCAGTGAGCCAAGATAGTGCCACTGCACTCCAGCCTGGGTGACAGACTCCTCCATCTCAAAAAATAAAAAGAAAAAAGAAAAATTATTAAAAATGCACCTTCTCGGGCTCAGCCACAAAATGTCAGAGCCGCATGAGGAATGGTTCTGGAAAAGTCTGGCTCACTCCCCTCCCCCACCCCTAGGTGTGTGTCAGCTTCGACCAGGCAGACCTGACCATCAAGCTGCCAGATGGATACGAATTCAAGTTCCCCAACCGCCTCAACCTGGAGGCCATCAACTACATGGCAGCTGACGGCGACTTCAAGATCAAGTGTGTGGCCTTTGACTGAAACCAGCCAGCCCATGACCCCCAATAAAGGCAGCTGCCTCTGCTCCCTCTGAACCAGCCTCGTGTGTGTGTGTGTGTGTGTGTGTGTGTGTGTGTGTGTGTGTATGCGCGCGCGCGCACATGCTCACCGGTGTGCGTGTGCGTGGGAGGGGGCCCCTTCCTTCACTTCCATTCGCTTTGTCCACAGATACCTCCTCAGTTCTAATGATGTCTTCTGCCGGATCCCCCAGACCAAGCACAGCGAGAGTTTGGCACACAGTAGGAGGGCCAGTGACCACTGAATAAAAATCAGTCCTAGGCCAGGGCAGTGGCTCATGCTTGTAATCCCAGCACTTTTGGAGGCTGAGGCAGGCAGATTATGAGGTCAGGAGTTTGAGACCAGCCTGGCCAACACAGTGAACCCCGTCTCTACCAAAAATAAAAAACTGGCTGGGCATGGTGGTGGGATCCTGTAATCCCAGCTACTCAGGAGGCTGAGGCAGGAGAATCTCCTGAACCCGGGAGGTGGGGGTTGCAGTGAGCCAAGATTGCACCACTGCATTCCAGGCTTGGGTGGAGTGAAAATCCATTTCAGAAAAAAAAAAAAAAATCAGTCCCTGGCCTGGAACTGCTTTCAGCCTAGTGGCCCCAGCACACAGTAGGTACTCCAAAGATGTTGCATAAATGACATCAAGGGGGAAAGAGGCAAGGACAGACCAATGTGTGTGTGGTGACAGGGGCAGAAGACAGGGAGGTGGAGGGAAGAATACAAGGCCCCTCTCATTTGCCTTCATGAGCTAGAAAGATACTTGGAGTCAGAAAACAAGGGGCTGCCAGCTGTGGGACCTGCATGTTAACTGACCTCTCTGAGCCTCAGCTTATTCCTTTATACAAGGGTGATAACGCATACAGCTTATCAAAGGGTTGTTCCAAAGACCAGTCGATTCTCTGCCGTCTGGCTGAGATCAAGTGGAGATTAAATGAGTTATTGCATGAAAGAAGCCAGCTTCGATACCTGGCATATGGTAAACGCTAGTGGATAGTGGTTTCCCAGCCCTTATGCGTGGCCATTTTTTTTTAAGATATGGGGTCTTGCTATGTTGCCCAGGCTGGAGTGCAGTGGTTGTTCACAGGTATGATAATGGCATACTGCAGCCTCAAAGTCCTGGACTCAGGCAATCCTCCTACCTCAGCCTCCTGAGTAGCTGGGACCACGGGTGCACGTCACTGTACCCAGCTCCCTGCACCACTTTTGAGGTGCTGTTACTCCAACTGGAAGGGGAAGAAATGGGCTCTGACTGATGAAGTGACTCCTGAATCTGTACCAGGCCCAGATGAGCCTGCGGGCTTATCCAGGCATCTTCGCTCTGTGGGCTCAGGCCATGCACCCCACTTGGCTAAGAGTGTACAGGCAACCAAGGGACTAGGCTGGAATCTGCTGGCCCTCATCCCTGGGCAGATGACCCCACCCCAACAGTGGGAATATGGGTTTGGGTGATGACCCTGTCACCCCATTACCAGCCCTTGTTTCTCTTCCAGAAGGCTTAGAATCAGAGCATCATTGAGCTCCCCCACAATCCCAAGGCACAGTCTCCTGAGGCATGGTGGGTTGCATAGGCTTGGCAAAACTCTTTTCTTTTTTTTTCTTTGAGACAGAGTCTTGCTCTGTCACCCAGGCTGGAGTGCAATGGTGTGTTCTCAGCTCATGAACACCTCCACCTCTTGGGTTCAATCAAGGAAGGTGCTCCTGCCTCAATCTCCAGAGTAGCTGGGATTATAGGCACTATATATATATATAACATATATATATATATATAACATATATATATATATATAACATATATATATATAACATATATATATAACATATATATATAACATATATATATATAACATATATATATATAACATATATATATAACATATATATATATATATATATATATACATATAATTTTTTTTTTTTTAATAAGACTGGGTTTCACCATGTTGGCCAGGCTGGTCTCAAACTCCTGACTGCAGGTGATCCATCTGCCTCTGCCTCCCAAAGTGCTGGGATTACAGGCTGAGCCACTGCACCCAGCCAGTAAATCTCACTTAGGGCAACTGGAACCAGCTGTAAGTAGGTCTCATACACCCAGCCTCAGTTTCCTCATCCATAAAATGGGACCCATTTTGGGTGGATGATTTCCATCTGAGTGCCCTAGGCCCTGGGCGGAGTGGGGAGCACGTACCTCTATGAGAGGCCAAAGAGGATGGAACACACATGCTGAGAAATCCATTGAGCCACACCCAATCTCCAGGCGCTCCTGGGGCTCCCAGGTGGCCACCCAGAAATAGCTTCGGAAACTTGGCTGCAGATGGGGTGCCCTCTGCTGGACATTGGAGAAAATGTCCCCTAGGCTGCCCTGCCTGGTCCTCAGTTCACCCACCGATTCTCCCCGTGCACGGGCTAACACGGTACACACACTAGGACTGGGGCCACAACAGGGCAAAGAAAAATCCTGGGGCAGGTAAGAGAGGCTACTGGGTGTGGAGGAAGCACTTTGGGAGGCCGAGATGGGAGGATCATTTGCGGTCAGGAGTTCGAGCAGCCTGGTCAACGTGATGAAACCTTGTCTCTACTAAAAATACAACAATTAGCGGGGTATAGTGACACACACCTGTAGTCCCAGCTGCTCAGGAGGCTGAGGCGGGATAATTACTTGAATCTGGGAGGTAGAGGTTGCAACGAACCGAGATCGCGCCACTGCACTCCAGCCTGGGCGAGAGAGCGAGACTCAATCTCAAAAGTAATAGTAATAACAAATCAAAGAAAAACAATTCAAAGTAGGGTCGGTACAGGAATTTTTGGTCATTCACGAGTAACTCCATATTAAGTGCATACTGTATGCCAGGCACAGTCCCAGGCAATGGGGTCCGGGGGTGGGCCTCGCTCTCATTGAAGCGAATCTGGGTAGGGGCTGGAGCTGGGAGTCAAGGAGCGGTCAGGAACCAGGGTGTCATGCTTGGGGAGAGGGAATAAAACGAGCTGGAAGATCCCTTTAAAAGGCGGGATCTGCGGGCGGAACTGCGGAGAGAATGCTGAGCGGTGCACCCGGGAGGATGAGTACGCTACACCCGGAAGTGTCTCCGGTGAGAGGAAGGTGGTGGCCTCACGGGTATGGGCCGCAACAAGAAGAAGCGAGATGGTGATGACCGGCGGCCCAGGCTAGTTCTCAGCTTCGATGAGGAGAAGAGGCGGTGAGTGGCAAAGAAGGACCGGACTCCCCTCGAGCCTTGGCCAAGGCCAGGTTCGCGCCGGGCACGCTCCCGCCAAGGGCTCTTCCGGCCCCGCCTTCTGGCGTGGCTAGAGAACCCCTCTGGACCTCCCTGTTTGTCTCTGGTCCCGCTTGTCCCTTCTTGGCCTCCCCACCTCGCCTAGGGTCTCTGCGCAGCCAGACAGCCGGAAGCTCGGGCATCAGAGCAGTGGCTTCGACCACCCTAGCCCAGCCCAGTCCATCGGCCCGGCACACAACAGGCGCTCAGCCGTGGTTGATGAATGATGAGCCAATGAAATGAGAGTGGCTGAAGTTCATTCATTCGCTCTCCAGAATTTTATTGGGCTCCTTTAGTGTGCCAGGTCCCGTATCAGGAAGCTGAACCTCTGAGCCTCAGCGTCCGGCCAGACATAAATGGCACATGGTAGCTGGTCAGCGAAAAGCCCAGTGCTGGACTGTGGGGTAAAATGGGAGCAGAGCGCTGGCACTGGCAAGATGAGAAGGGGCTGAGATCAGACCGAGGAATGAAGGGAGGGAAAGGCTGGGCATCATCAGGAAACTCCTAGCGTGCATCAACAGGCCCTACAGGAGAGTTCAGGGTCAGGTGTCCTGGGCACACGGGTGCTGGTCTAGTGCAGGGTTCTGAAGGTCTGGATCAGGGTGCCCCTGAAAGTCCTGTTAGCGAGTAATGAGGTTTGCCAGTGTGGAAGGGATAATCCCATGTACTGAGTTTGCCCTCCCACCTGGTCCTGTTCCCTGAACCTGAGAGCCCATAGTATTGAGTGGAAGGAGGCAGTATCTCCCTTGTTTTCCTAAATGTATCCTTTCTCTAACCTTGGGCAAGTAACCTAAACTCTGTGCCTCAGTATTCCCATCTGTAAAATGGAGATTGATACCCACTGCACAAGTTGTTGTGAAGGTTTTTTTGTTTGTGTGTTTTTGAGACTAGTCTAGCCGTGTCATCTAGGCTGGAGTGCAGTGGCATGATCTCTGCTCACTGCAACCTCCACCTCCCAGGTTTAGGTGATTCTCCCGCCTCAGCCTCCCAAGTAGCTGGGACTACAGGCATGCGCCAACATGCCCGGCTAATTTTTTTTTTTTTGAGATGGAATTTTGTTCTTGTTGCTCAGACTGGAGTGCAATGGCGCAGTCTCGGCTCACCTCAAACTCCACCTCCTGGGTCCAAGCGGTTCTCCTGCCTCAGCCTCCCGAGTAGCTGGGATTACAGGCATGTGCCACCATACCCAGCTAATTTTGTATTTTTAGTAGAGATGGGGTTTCTCTATGTTGGTCAGGCTGGTCATAAACTCCTGACCTCAGGTGATCCACCTCCCTCAGCTTCCCAAAGTGCTGGGATTACAGGCATGAGCCACTGTGCCTGGCCAATTTTTGTTTTTTGGTAGACACGGGGTTTCACCATGTTGGCCAGGCTGGTCTCGAACTCCTGGCCTCAAGTGATCCACCCGCCTCGACCTTCCAAAGTGCTGGGATTACAGGCATAAGCCACCATGTCTGGCCATTGTTGTAAGGGTTAAATGAGCTAATACTTGTAAGTTTTTGGAATGGGGCCTAGCACACAGCAAGTGTGGCATTAGCCATTTTTCTCCTAGAGTGAGCCCTTCTCTTGTATCTCCTGCGACTCTCCCGTCTTTGCTGGCTTCCTTCCTGTAGGGAGTACCTGACAGGCTTCCACAAGCGGAAGGTCGAGCGGAAGAAGGCAGCCATTGAGGAGATTAAGCAGCGGCTGAAAGAGGAGCAGAGGAAGCTTCGGGAGGAGGTGCACAGGGGGAAGGTGGGAGGGAGGTCTTTGATTCTTAGGGTACTTGCAGCCTTGGATTTCCCTAATAGAGGCAGCTGTAAGCATGGGCCAGCATGTGTGTGGGCAGGACCAGGACCGGGGAATAGCTTATTCAAGTGGAGACTCCGTGGGCCCGGGTCTGAGAGTAATGGAAGATGGAGTCTCCTGCTGATTTTGCAGTCTGAATCATGGTCTCAGTCACCCTGGGGGTGATTAATACCCTAGCTTGAGGTTGAGCTAAGAGGTCATACTCACTGTGTTACCTGCCTGTGTGGTTTCAGCGCCACCAGGAATACTTGAAGATGCTGGCAGAGAGAGAAGAGGCACTGGGTAAGTCACATGCTTGGTCTGACCTGGAGAACAGCTGATTGGCCTGGTTTATGTATTCCCTTGGTGGGTGGAAGGGAAAGGGAAAGGGAAAGAAGCTGACCTCCTGGGCCGGGTGCGGTGGCTCACGCATGTAATCCCAGCACTTTGGGAGGCCGAGGCAGGTGGATCACGAGGTCAAGAGATCGAGACCATCCTGGTCAGCATGGTGAAACCCCGTCTCTACTAAAAATGCAAAAAATTAGCTGGGCACGGTGGCGCGTGACTGTAATCCCAGCTACTCAGGAGGCTGAGGCAGGAGAATTGCCTGAACCCAGGAGGCGGAGGTTGCAGTGAGCTGAGATCGCGCCATTGCACTCCAGCCTGGGTAACAAGAGTGAAACTCCGTCTTAATTAAAAAAAAAAAAAAAAAGAAGAAGAAGCTGACTTCCTTGGCCCTAGGGATTTTGGGGGGTTCTCTGGGGCCAAGGGTGGTCCTAGCACCTCTCAGTACAAGTGGAACAGAGACCAGGAGAGTTAGACGTAAATCCCATGGTTAACCAAGCCTGAGCAGAGAGCCCAGTTTCTGAAGACTGAAATGACTAGCGTGGAGAGAGGGACAGCAGCAGCTGTCACAGAAGGTCTGTCTGAAGTGGGGACCAGCCAGAGCAGGAAGGAAATGAGATCATTCTCAACATTCATCCACAGGCCAGGCTCTAGCGCCAGGAACCTTGTGGATGCTCTCCACGTCCACAGAATAGAGGGGGGCATTGCACTCCAGGGCAGAAGGGAGACTGAAGCCTGGTCACTGGTTCTTCTGGCTGAGGCCAGGGCTGTGTCCATCCCCACAGAGGAGGCCGATGAGCTGGACCAGCTGGTGACAGCAAAGATGGAGTCGGTGCAGTACGACCACCCCAACCACACAGTCACCGTGACCACCATCAGTGACCTGGACCTCTCGGGGGCTCAGCTGCTCAGGGTGACCCCACCTGAGGTGGGTCTCAGTCTCAGCCCTGGGAAGAAGGGGCTTGGGGGCGGACTGACTTGTCAGGGGGTTGCTCAGTGCTGGTGCATGTCATGGGTATCCCAGTGCCAGTGCCCTTTCTCTTTGGACCCATGAGTCCCTGCTTCTGGGGTGCTGCAGAGGCCAGCCCTGCTGCTGAGCGGCTGAGGAGCCTGAGCAGGTTCCTTCACGTTGCCTGCTTCCTTTCTCTGTTAGTGAACTGGGCTTGCTGGGGTGGCGCCTGCCTTGTGGGGTTGCTGTCAGGATAAAAGTGGTGAGTCCGTGGGAGTCATTTGGCACAGTGCCCAGCCCTGTTGTAAATGCTTCACAAAAGGTAGCTGTTTGTTGTATCGTTCTCTTTGTGCAATGAGCAGCCCTGGCACATCTGTGTGCACTAAGTGGGTTTTCTTTTTTTTTTTTTCCCACAATGATGTAATGGAGGGCTTTACTGAAAAGGTTGACAAACGAAAAGAGAGCTAAAACCCAACAGATCTTTTTGTTAAAAGGTTACTTTTTCTTGGAAAGAGAATGTAGTACCACCAAGTTATAGAAATGCGAAAAACAGTTTATATGAACTTTCTGACTTTTGACAATGTCATTGTTTAAGAATATAACTGAATTACTTTTGAGGTATTTTATAATACATGTTGGCTATTTTATTTATTTATTTTTATTTTACTTTTTTTTTTTGAGACGGAGTTTCGCTCTTGTTACCCAGGCTGGAGTGCAATGGCGCGATCTCAGCTCACGGCAACCTCCGCCTCCTGGGTTCAAGCAATTCTCCTGCCTCAGCCTCCCCAGTAGCTGGGATTACAGGCGCACGCCACCATGCCCAGCTAATTTTTGTATTTTTAGTAGAGACGGGGTTTCACCATGCTGACCAGGATGGTCTCGATCTCTTGACCTCGTGATCCACCCGCCTCAGCCTCCCAAAGTGCTGGGATTATAGGCGTGAGCCACCGCATGTTGGCTATTTTAAAAAGTTAAAAAAAAAATACATATATGAGTTCAGTGATGACTCAAATATTTTCTGTTTAGTCTGATAAATTGGCACTTAAAATAACTACACTTCGTTCAGAAAATATCCAAGGTAAAGAATATGCTATATAAAATAACCAACCATTTAACAGTAACATGCTTACAGTAGCTCAAAGCTGAATGTGATAAATGTACTTCAGGAAAATTATTTAATATGGGCCTAGCCATATTCTAATTCTAAACTTACTTTTTAGGGGGGTGGGAGGGTGGAGTTTTGCTATATTGCCCCCGTTGGTCTTGAACTCCTGGGCTCAAGCAATCCTCTCACCTCAACCTCCCTAGTTGCTGGGATTAAAGGTGAACGCCATCACGCGCAGATTAAGCTTACTTCTATATGAAAAATAACCAGACTAACATTTAGTGATTAGTGGTTCCACTAATTCAATTTTTTTTTTTCTTTTTGAGACCGAGTTTTGCTCTTGTTACCCAGGCTGGAGTGCAATGGCACGATCTTGGCTCACTGCAACCTCCGCCTCCTGGGTTCAGGCAATTCTCCCACCTCAGCCTCCCGAGTAGCTGGGATTACAGGCACGCACCACCGTGCCCAGCTAATTTTTTGTATTTTTAGTAGAGATGGGGTTTCACCATGTTGACCAGGATGGTCTCGATCTCTTGACCTCGTAATCCATCCGCCTCGGCCTCCCAAAGTGCAGGGATTATAGGCGTGAGCCACCGCGCCTGGCCCGCTAATTCAATTTTAAGACCACTAACAGAATTTTATACTGTAAACACCTGCAATGTGACAGCGTACATAAGAAAAATCTTTTTTAAAGTTTTAGTAACAGGCCGGGCATGGTGGCTCACGCCTATAATCCCTGCACTTTGGGAGGCCGAGGCGGGTGGATCAAGAGATCGAGACCATCCTGGTCAACATGGTGAAACCCTGTCTCTACTAAAAATACAAAAATTAGCTAGGCATGGTGGTACGCGCCTATAGTCCCAGCTACTCGGGAGGCTGAGGCAGGAGAATTGCCTGAACCCAGAAGGCGGAGGTTGCGGTGAGCCGAGATCATGCCATTGCACTCCAGCCTGGGTAACAACAATGAAACTCGGTCTCAAAAAAAAAAAAAGTTTTAGTAACAAACCAAAACCTGTTGTAACCTTAAAAAAAAAATCACTTAAAAAATAGTTGGAAACAAATACACTTAACACTAGAGTACTGTTCTAAAGAAAAAACTTTTTATGACTTCCATGACATGTTATTTTTAAGCAGCAGAAGTCTTAAACACCTGTAGGCACTTCAAAACACTGTTGAGGATCTGATTTTCAATACTGTATCAGGTGACATTAAAGAGACCGTTGTTCTTTGCATCAGACCCTGTGTTGCTGTGGGGAACACGGCAGGGCAGAAGCACTGGAGTCATGGAGGCAAGTTATTGAAACACTGTCATACCGAAATACTGCTGGCTTCTGGAAGAATCTTCTGAAATGCGGAATTAGACATCTGGAGTGTCACTCCAATCAGTCATGGTTACTAAGCTGCTCTTTAATGTGCTGGATTCATTATCTTGAAGTCCTTCTCCCTTTGGCCCCTTAGGATTAAATTCGCCCCAGGCATTTAGCACATGAGGAAAATGTTTATTTTTCACAGGTGAAGTTCCTTCTGTTCTTTCCCAGATCTTTCCCCAAAGATGTCTCTTCCTCTAGGGATGATACGTCCCAGTCTTCATCCTCCACATCTGCAAACTTTAGTTCTTGTAATTCTTCATTTTTGATAAACATCTCAGGAACATTAATTCCACCAACTGGTCTATTCACATTTTTGCGATGTGAAAACATCTTTTCAACTTTTTCAGTTGGTGTTTTAATGGAGGCTCCTGCGGGCTTGAGAGAATCATCAGTGTCCTCGATTTCGCTTCCCTCGGTCCCGTCCGTGTCACCTTTGACTGCATTCTTCCCACAGCTGCCCTTGCTTTGCGATGGTGGCACAGGAAGTGGGCCTGGGGATGCGTATACCCGGATGAGGTCGTCGTCCTCCTGCTCCTCCTCCGAACTAAAGGGAGGGGTCGTAATAGTTGAAGACTTTCTGGGAAAATGATCTTTCATGATATGTTTCGTAATTTTTGAAACAGATGTCCTATCAGTAGAAACAGCTCTTTGTCTAACCAGTTGTCTGTCTTTGGGAGGAGGTTGTATCATTCTGGGTACTTCTCCAGTTGAAAGGGTATCCATTTGAGAAACATTGTACTTATCTGAAGACAGCAGTGCTTTCTCCTCGATTTTACAGCTGACTTGATGTTTAAGGAATTCTCGAATTTGATGAAAGTTAGGTATTTCTCTTTCTTGCTTATGTCCTTCTGATTCCACACTTTTTAGTGCTCTCTGCAGTGGGTCACTTGAAATACCGTGTATGTCTGCATTAATCCCCAAGGTTTCCGGTTTCTCCATCAAGTTCTGCTCCACCATTGTTCTTAGTCCCTTAGTGAGGGAGGAGTTACTCTTCAAAGCTTTCCTTAAATGTATTTTGTTATTTAATTTCTGTTCATTTTCCCTTCCTTTTTCTTCCTCTGAAAGTTCTTCTGTTGGTTCCAGTATGTGCGACGAGAATGTCTGTTCATGTGCCACCGGCAGACTTGATTTAGTTTCCGAAGTGTGCAGGGCTGGGGCATTCATAGGCTACAGGAGTTCCTTTGGGTTCACGGACACCGTTTAATGGACGACAGGTACACTCTTTAATCTGCTGTCTCTGAGTTAGAATCAGTTCCTTCTGCTCCTGGATTCTCTGCCCTAGCTCTTCTATCGTTTTCTTGTAGACAACGTCGCTTGCATTTAGATCATCTATTTGAGGTTTGAAGTTTCTCTATATGTGACATGAGCCGATCCTTCTCTTTCTTGTGTTCTTGATGAATAGCTGGAATTCATGCTGTCCACTTGCTTTCCTGACTATCAGGAAGCTGCGTGACATTCTGGAAATCCTGGGAATGTGGAGAGCAGTCTTCTTTAGATTCGTGCGCATCTTTTACTGTGCCTGTGTTGGACTTGATCTGCATATAGGACTTCTGGGTTTCCCGCGGTTGATATTCTAATGCTGAAGTCGGTTCTTTAAATTGCTTCCTAAACATCTTGACTTTTTCCATTTCATCAACTAGTTTCTCCTTTTCTTTTTCTTTCCACCTATCAAATAACTTCAAAAAGTCTTCCTCTTTTGTTTTCTGCATTTCATATTCCTTGGAGAAACCTCTCTGGCATGCTGTGCAGCCTCTAGCTCAGACCTGGTGAGCTGCAGCTCTTCCTTCAATACGGCAATCTCACTCCAGAGCTTCTCAATCTGTGCATTTTTCTGATACTCAAAATGAGAATTTTCTTCAGTGTGGCGGCGCTGAATGTGACTTTGTAGAAAAGCTTGGTTCATAAAGAACTTGTCACAAAAATGGCACTGGTAATAGTTGGCTCTGGCCTCCATCATCAGCTGCTGGTCGGAGATGATCTTCTTCCTGCGTTTGCACTCTTTCTTGAGCATCTTGATCTCCCTCGCCTGCTTGGATAGCAGCTCCTTGCTCTGCTCGCCGTCGCAGTGGCTCAGGCGCAGCCGCTCCTCCAGGGTGTGCAGCTGCGAGGTGAGGAACTCCTTCGAGTGCAGCAGGCACTCGATGGTGAACTGCGCCAGACGGATGAGTTTCAGCAGCACTGGATCCACCCCCGACTGGCAATGAGGGCACTTCTCGTCCTCCAGCTTGCAGAAGGTGACGTTCATGATGTTCTCCTGCAGCGTCAGCAAGTCCACGGCCTCTGCCACCTTGTCCATGTCGATGGCACTCAGCCGCAGCCGGTCCACACACTCCAGCCGCGGCCTGAACTGGAAGAAGGGCAGGGGCCCCAAAGCCAAACTGGGGAGCGCACAAGTCATGGAGGCCTCACCGGCTGCCGCGGCTACAGCGATGTCGGGCCCCTCTGGGCCGCTGGAGAGCGGGTAGTAGACATGCTTCTGGAAGGGCATGCTTGCAAGCCAGTCCGCCACCTCTGCTTGCTTAGGGGGAGCTAGCAGTCTCCTCAACCCACCCCGGGCCGCCTCAGGAACGGGAGAAGGCTGGGTCCCCTGCTTCCGTGGCGGCAGCGGCGGCGGAGGCCTAAGGTCTGGGCGTCCAGGACGTTGCTATGGCAATGCCCAGTTCTGGACCTGGAACAAAGGGCGCGTCCGCCTGCGCATGCGCCCAGGACCCTTGCAAACTTGGGTCGGGGCTGCATTCTGGGTTTTAGAGAGGCTAAAATATTTCTTTTTTTTTCTTTTTGAGACCGAGTTTCGCTCTTATTACCCAGGTAGGAGTGCAATGGCGCGATCTCGGCTCACCGCAACCTCCGCCTCCTGGATTCAGGCAATTCTCCTGCCTCAGCCTCCCGAGTAGCTGGGATTACAGGCACGTGCCACCGTGCCCAGCTAATTTTTTGTATTTTTAGTAGAGACGGGGTTTCAGCATGTTGACCAGGATGGTCTCGATCTCTTGACCTCGTGAGCCACCCGCCTTGGCCTCCCAGAGTGCTGGGATTACAGGCGTGAGCCACCGTGCCCGGCCCGAGGCTAAAATATTTCTAGCAGCAACTCGTAGACGTTAGGCCTCTCGTTTCTGTGGGTATTCTGGGTGCCTCCGGTGGTTACCACAGAGATCAATAAGCTGAGGAAAAGCCGGACATTCCCCAATCCACCGGGGAATTCCTGCTTGGACCAGACATCAGGAATTTTTTTTCTTTCCTGATAGGTCTGTAGACTCTGGGCTCCATCCACTGGGCTGCAGGATCAGCGGGAACGAGGGCTGTGGTCTCTCTTGCTCACGGATATATTCCCATCACCCCAGCTGCGCGCTCCTGGGCGGGTGCCGGGCGCTGCAGGCGGGCGGGGGCGACATAGGGGACACAGACCGCAGGGTCGTTGCTAAGGCGGGCAGGGCCCGCGGAGGTCGAGGAGCAGCAGAGCGGAGAGAGGCGGACCGGCTTCTTCTTGCAGGGCGCGGGATGAAACGTGTCTCGCCTGGGCAAGTTGTGGCGAGGCGGGTCGCCTGGCGCAGCTCCAGGTCCTTCCAGACTCCAGATCGCAGGCGACTCAGGATCCCCCACCCCCCTCCCGCCCCCTCTGCTCCGCGATCTCCCTCTGGCTTCTTCCCTCCTCGGTGTCCCGGCTCCTCTCCTAAGTGGATTTTCAACCTGTGGCTTGTGAATCATGAGTAGATTGCAACCACCGTAAAAAATAAGAATATCATAATTGACAATACCAGAAAGCATCATGGTAAGTATTGTTTCATAAGATGGCTGTTTCCACTGGAGTTGTATCTGGGTTTGCCTAAGAATTTATGGACATGTATGTACACAGTTACGATGTAAAACACATTTCCTCCAGGGAGTTTCTGTGTCCTTAAGTCCTGGAGCCACTCCCCTGTCACATCCATACTGATCTCAGGGCCGGGCACAGTGTCTCATGCCTGTAATTCCAGCACTTTGGGAGGCCAAGATGGGTGGATCAACTGGAGGTCAGGAGTTCCAGACCAGCCTGGCCAACATGCTGAAACCCTGTCTCTACTAAAAGTAAATTAGCTGGGTGCAGTGGCAGGTGCCTGTAATCTCAACTACTCAGGAGGCTGAGGCGGAGATTGCAGTGAGCTGAGATTGCACCTCTGCATTCTAGACTGGGTGACAGAGCAAGACTCTGTCTCCAAAAGAAAAGAAAACCATACTGATGTCACACCGGTCTTTCATTTTATGCTCATTCTTTAGCAAGTTCTGATACAAAGCAAGTCTTGTCCTCATTTAGCTAGGATTTTCATTCCTGAATGTTTAAGCATGTACTGGAAGCCTCTGGAGGCAAGAGAGGGTTTTGAAGCATGGCTGTCCACCGTGTAATCCTTGATTTAGGGCAGACAGAGTGCTCTTCTGCCTCAGGGCTTCTCTAGCCCCATCCCAGGCCTGTGATGCAGCAGGGAGCGCCACCACTCAGGTGCCCAGTCCAGGCCTCCCCAGCTACTGCCCCCTCTAAGTCAATGTCTTATGCTTCTTTAGGGAGGGGCTGGAGACAGGTCTGAGGAGGAGGCATCATCCATGGAGAAGCCCACCAAAGCCTTGCCCAGGAAGTCCAGAGACCCCCTGCTCTCTCAGCGGTGAGTGTTGGCCTGCTGCCTCCCTGGTCCCGCTCCTCCTGGCTGACAGTAGCAGCCTGGCCCTTAGGGGTGGAGGGCCCGGAGCAGCCCTCTGCTTTGCCTGGCCAGTGATCCTCAGCCTCTCTTCATTGCCCCATCCTATTCCACCCACCCCCGAGAATGTCTGACCTCCGGTGCCCTTCGTGCCTGGGTGAAGGGCCTGTCTCTCTGAGCTGCGTTGCTGGCGGGCACTTTGGAGGTAGAGCAAGCCAACTCTGGCATGAAGTTAGTGGTCCCAGCATTTGCTACCTGTCCTGACACCCCCTCCATGAGCCTTGTGGTCAGTCACCCTCCAACGCAGTCTCTACCTACCACCCTGTTCCCAAGGTAAACTGAGGCTTTCTACCCTCCCCCAGGATCTCCTCCCTCACAGCAGCACTGCATGCACACAGCCGCAAAAAGGTCAAGAGGAAACATCCCCGCATGGCCCAGGACTCTAAGAAGCCCCCAAGGGCCGCTCGCACCAGCAGGGCCCAGCGTCGCCGTTTGACAGGCAAAGCACAGCACAGCAGGGAGTGAGGCTGAGAACCAAGCCGCGCCCCAGTCCAGGCTGCGGGGACCTGGCCTTTGTCATCTTGGCTGTCCCTGTTGCTCAGCCTGCACCAAGGTGATGACTGCACAGCCCAAAGTTGGGAAGCCAGGACCTCTCTGGCCTGGGGCCGGCTGCCTTTGCCTGGGGTTTGAATTTCAGAAGAAGTGGGCAGCTGAGCGCAGCCTCCCCGGGAAGAGCCTTCGGAGACACGTTGGGGCATCTTCCCAAATGTGCACCCCACCTGGCACTTATCAAATTTGGGAAACTCATCAGAGATTTGTGCACTCGTGATTTGTTTGCCCCGATACCACGTGCAAGGGCATTTTCTGGGGTGGTTGACATGGACAGGGGCCATGGCTCTATCCCCAGCAGTTTTCCCTGTGGTTGCAATAAAGTCCAGTTCTGCTTCTATTAAGGTGCTGGGTCCCCTAACCAGGGTTACAGACCAGTGTGTCCATTGCTAGAATCCAGAGCCCACCTGCTGCTCTGAAAAGCAGGCTCCTGAGGCCAGTGGGGAACAGTGCCCCCCCTGCCTTTCACTGAGGAGCCTCTGGGCCTGTCTCTTGTCCTGGGCCCAGCAGTCTCCTCAGCTAACACTGAAGCAGTTGAATCCCAAGTCATTCCCCATCACCACACTGGGGCAGCAACCCCCGATTTCCAGCAGCTCCTAGGTGGGGCCCAACACGGAAGGATTGATTAATTCTTACTTTTTTTTTTTTTTTTTTTAAAGACGGAGTCTCACTCTGTCACCAGGCTGGAGTCCAGTGGTGCAATCTCGGCTCAGTACAACCTCTTGCTCCCAGGTTCGAGCGATTCTTCTGCCTCAGCCTCCCAAATAGCTACAGGTGTGTGCCACCACACCCAGCTAATTTTTTGTATTTTTAGTAGAGATGGGGTTTCACCATGTTGGCCAGGATTGTCTCAAATCTCCTGACCTTAAGTGATTAACCTGCCTTGGCTTCCCAAAGTGCTGGGATAACAGCCACTGCGCCTGGCCTAATTCTTACTTTTTAAAGCAGTTGCAGCCCGGCATGGTGGCTCACGCCTGTAATCCCAGCACTTTGGGAGGCTGAGGCAGGTGGATCACCTGAGGTCAGGAGTTCGAGACTAGCCTGGCCAACATGGTGAAACCCTGTCTTTACTAAAAGTACAAAAATTAGCTGGGCCTGGTGGCACACGCCTGTAGTCCCAGCTACTGGGGAGGCTGAGGCAGGAGAATTGCTTGAACCAGGAGGCGGAGGTTGCGGTGAGCTGAGATCGAGCCATTGCACTCCAGCTTGAGTAACAAGAGTGAAACTCCGTCTCAAAAAAAAAAAAAAAAAAAAAAATGCCGGGCAAGGTGGTGCACATGTGTAATCCCAGCTACTGGGGAGGCTGAGGCACAAGAATCACTTGAACCCGGGAGGCAGAGGCTGCAGTGAGTGACAGAGTATGACCCTGCCTCAAAAAAATTAAAAAATAAAGCAATTGCATCTTGACTGGCACAAAAGTAGCCCCTCTAGAGTAGACCCTGAAGGTGCCAGCTAGACTTCCACAAGGGCCATGTCTTCACACTCCTTCCAGGTGATGAGCTGATGGAAACCATGTCCCTCCCTTGTCCCAACTTGTCAGTCCTGGGCAGGAGTGAAAGACTTTCAAGTTGTGCCGTGGTTAGAGGAGCTGTGTTGGGTCGTGTGAGCCGCTGAGGCCCATGGACAATGGAGTCAGGATGACAGGACCGTGTGAATGAGGGGCACCTCCCGCAGGACCACAGGCTCCACCCACCCTGGGATGTGGGAGCTCCTGAGGCAGGTGGGGGAGCAGTGAGCCAGGATCTGCAGGTCCGTCCTCTCTCCACAGCTAGCAGCCAGGCTTTGCAGTGGGGCAGGCTCCGATGGTGGCTGAGTTATGCTGTACCCATGTCACCCTCAAAACCCATTGATGGCTGGTGCCAATCTGAGGGCCACACCCGGGTATGGTGCATGTAGCTGGGGGATTGTGCCCAGTGCCTCGGGCTAGCCTCTTGGCTCTGCCACCTGCTCTCCCTACCACGTTTTGTTTGTCCTCCCCTGTGCTTGGGGCTGGCTGGTGTGTGTCACTTGGCTGCCTTCTCCCTGGACAGAGTGGTGCCTATTATGGGGCCCTCGAGGTGGCTCTGGTGCTCAGTCTGCTGTGACCAGGAACAGCTGAGCCCCAGGGATTCCTGCACACAGCAGGCCTCATGTTTGAATCCAGGCTCTGCTGCTTGGTTGCTGCGTGAGCGACCTCTCTGGTCTGTTTCCTCATGTGTAAGACAACATAAGATACCTACCTCTTGGGGCTGCCCAGAGACTCAGATCTGACCACATGCATGAACCATTTTCCCAGAGCTCCTGTTGCTCCCCGGGTGTGCCTACTCCAGGTCACCACTGCGGCTTCTGTTGGGACGTCTGACTCCAGTTCTTCTCCCATCTCCAGTGACAAAGTCATTTACAACTTGTGTTTACAGTTTATAATGTTTACCAGTATTAAATTCTCAGCCATGGGCCAGGCGCGGTGGCTCACACCTATAATCCCAGCACTTTGGGAGGCCAAGGCAGGTGGATCACCTTAGGTCAGGGGTTCGAGACCAGCCTGGCCAGCATGGTGAAACCCCATCCCTACTAAAAATACAAAGAATTAGCCGGGCATGATGGTGTGCGCCTGTAGTCCCAGCTACTTGGGAGGCTGAGGCAGGAGAATTGCTTGAACCCAGGAAGTGGAGGTTGCAGTGAGCCAAGATCGTGCCATTGCACAGCAGCCTGGGCAACAAGAGCAAAACTCCATCTCAAAAAAAAAGATTCTCAGCCACCCTTTTCTGTGTGTGCCATCAGTTCTTCTGGCAGACCAGGGAAGTTTACTCATAGTGATTTGACCAATTCTAGGATCGGGGTGGTGGATTCAGAACCCTCTGGACAGTTTCTCTCTTCCCCAGGAGCCCCTCACCGTGTTCTGGAGGCACCTGGGTTCCTTCCTCCTGTTGCTCTCCAGCGTTGGGACTCTGGGAGATTTACGAAGAATAATTAGGTTTAGCTGCATATACTCTAAAACGAAATTGAAAAAGAACTGGCTTGTATAATAAAAAAGTTCCCAGGTAAATAAAAATAGGAGGTTCCTTGCCTGGAGCTGGGAAGGTTGGAGGCTGGAATACCAGGCTTCTAACTATGCTGTGTGCCATTTTCAACACATGGCTCCTGCCTCACAGCACAAGGTGGCTGCTTGAGCTGCAGCCATCATGTCTGCATTCCAGCCAGCAGGAAAGAAAAAGGAATGAAGAACATGCCCCTCCTTTTGAAAACATTTGGTACTTGACATGTCCTGTTGGCTAGGCAGGAGGCAAAGGCATGAGGCAGGGGAAACGGAGCTCCTAGCTGCAAGACAGGCTGGAAACTCTTCTATTTATGCATTTTCTTTCTTTTTTTGAGACGGAGTCTTGATCTGTTGCCCAGGCTGGAGTGCAGTGGCGCAGTCTCGGTTCACTGCAACCTCCAACTCCCTGGTTCAAGCGATTCTCCTGCCTCAGCCTCCCCAGTAGCTGGAACTACAGGTACGTGCCACCAAGCCCAGCTAATTTTTGTATTTTTACTAGAGATGGGGTTTCACCATGTTGGCCAGGATGGTCCCGATCTCCTGACCTCGTGATCCACCTGCCTTGGCCTCCCAAAGTGCTGGGATTACAGGCGTGAGCCAAAGCACCTAGCCCTGTATTTTCTCTTTGAGAGGGAGTTTCGCTCATTGTCCAGGCTGGAGTGCAATGGTGGAGTGCAATGGAGTGCAGTGGTCACCAGGCGCCAGGCTGGAGTGCAGTGGTGCAATCTCCACTCACTGCAACCTTCGCCTCCCAGGTTCAAGCGGTTCTCCTGCCTCGGCCTCCCGAGTAGCTGGGACTACAGGTATGTGCCACCACACCCAGCGATTTTTGTATTTTAGTAGAGATGGGGTTTCACCATGTTGGCCAGGATGGTCTCCATCTCTTCATCTCATGGTCTGCCCACCTCGACCTCCCAAAGTGCTGGGATTACAGGCGTGGGAGATAACCGCGCCTGGCCTCTGTCTCCTGTATTTAAAGATAAGAAAACTGTCATGCCAGAGAGGTTAAGACTCTAGTCCAAGGTCTGTGCTAAAGCCAGCCCAGCGGACTGTCGCCGGAAAGAACCAACGGGTAAGAGGTCAGAGGAGCCAGATCCGCCAGTGCCAGCCCTCTCTAGGGCTCCCTGGGGACTCCCAGCGGGCGAGGGCTGCAGGCGGCCCAGGCTAAACGTGCTGCGAGTCCCGCGCTCAGAGGTATCCTTGCCCTGCCCGCCTCCGCCCCGCCCCTTGCTCTGGCTTGTCCAATCCCACAGTGTTCATGTAAATGAGGCACCCAGAGCGCGCCTAGGCGAGCGTGGCAGGGGTGTGCCTTCCTTCTACCTCCCGAGCATCTCTCTGATTCATTGTTAAAATAAAGAGGCCGTGACCCTGGTACTCCCTCCCCGGCAGCCCCTGTGCGTGGAAACCCAGCCAAGGTTAGTACTAGGCTGCGGAGAAGAGGAGCTGGTTGGGGGAGGCCCATGGGAGGGGTAGGGATTGAGGGATGCTGGGAGAAACTGGGTGAATGGCTGGATGGAGAGGGGTCCCGGGGCCATTCTCCGGGTGGGGCATGCGTAGCTGCTTAAGGTTTTGATTTTTACATCCACATCTCAAGTGCATCTTAGAGAAGGATTCTGCCTATTGGTTGTGGGTAGGGGAGAAAACGGGAGCAGCGAGGGGCACGTGGAGTAGATCCCCCTACCCGCCCTCCGGAAAATGAGCGGCGTTCTCCTGCTGGGGGACGCTCCATTATGTGGCCAGACCAGGAGAGCAAGGCCCAGGATGGGTCTTGCTTCCACCACCAGGAGCTGGGAGGACAACCGTCTGGGGAAGATCAGAGACCCTGGGGCCACGAAGGCGCCAGTGGGTGCCCCTTTCCCCACCGTGCCCTGCCGTCGCCCCCACCCCATTCCCTTCTCGAGGTCTGATGGTGGAGGAGCGGAGCCTTGCCTTGGATCTGGCTGTCCCAGGGGAGGTTAAATTCCTCAGCTCGCCACCACTGGCAACAAAAGCCTGATCCCCTGGAACACAGCAGGTGAAGATGGATGTGGGCACGTGACCTGGGGGCACCAAAAGCTGCATGTGTTTTGGGATGTCACCTTCCTCCCACCCCCCACCCTTCCCCTGGGACTTTGTGTGGGTAGAGAGGGCATCTTTAAGTTGACTTTCCTGACCCAGTTTCCCTCCAGGGCATGGATGTTGGAGTCCCCAGGGGCACCCAGAAAGAACCCTTGCACAAGTGAAGACAGCAGGGTTTCAGAAGGGCGTGATGTGGCATGATGCTTCACACCTCGAATCCCAGCACTTTGGGAGGCTGAGGGGAAAGGATTACTTGAGGTCAGGAG